AATAAAATTCATCATAATTTATACTCATTTCCAAGTCAATTACAACGTATTCATTTTCATGCTGGCAATTGTTGCAGAGAAAACAAAGAAGAAAAAAAAGAATATTTTGCAAAGAAACTAGAAATAGTTAATGAAAATATAAAGAAACTAAATTCTAATAGAGAAATAAGTAAAATAACTATACCCTATGATCACATCTTTAAGCTCTACATCAAATTGCATTATAAATATGGTTTTAATTGTTCATTTTGTCAAACTCATAATATTAAATTATTGTGTTATGGACGCCATTAACAACTGAAGATTCTATCAAGCATCACGCAGAGTTTTGTTGTCAAGGAAACGAAAATTAAAGAAAAAATTGAAAAAAAATTGAATTTATCGAAAAAAGAAAAGAAAGAAGGAAAAAAATAAAAAACATACAAAAAAAAAAGAAATAGAAATTAAAACATGATAGTTTATTGTAACCCCATTAAATTGTAAACTTTATTCATTTTCATACTAACATTTAGTGGAGAATAGCTGATTTATTATGGAAAAAATGGATGAAAATAAAAATAATATTGCAAATGAAAGATATAGAAAATTATTTTACAAATATTGTTTTTATTGTAAAGAATGTCAAAGATATCAAATGGAGTCTTTATATAGTGGTTCATTACCAAAAAATCCGACACATTGTGTTTTTCATCATTTGTATGTTTGCTGTAAAGAAAAAGAAGAAATAAAAAAAATTGAGGAAGAAATTAGTTTTATTGAAGAAGAAAGGAAAGAAAAAACTTAAAATGTCATATAAAACATACCATACAAGCAAAATCAATACAGAATACAGAAAATTGTTTTATAAATATTGTTATTATTGCAAAATATGTTTTCATCACGAAATTTATTTGAGTTTGAAAAATTTACCAATACCAACTGGAGCAGAAAGTATTGATTATCATGCAAACGTTTGCTGTAAAGACAAAAAAGAATTAAAAAGAAAAATTAAAGAAGAAATTCAATCGATAAAAGAAGAAGAAAGGAAAAAGAGGGAAAATAAAAGATATATTAAGAAAGAACTTAAAGAAATAAAAAGAAAGAAAAACACATTATTCTATTTTTCTTTTTTGTAAGAAATTTTAATTTTTTTGAATGGCGAATAAAAGTGATAATTTTCTTCAAAATAAAAGTGATAATTTTCTTGAAAATGAAAGAGAAAAAAAATTATTTTATAAATATTGTTTTTATTGTAAAAAATGACAAAGATGTATAAAGCTTTTAAATAACGCATCATTACCAG